GAATCTCTTTCCTCTCTCTCTCGACTTTCTCATCTTCGAGCGCAGTCGCAGCCGACAAAAGTGCGCAGCAGCCGAGAAATGAAGTGTAGGTCGTAAATGACAATCAGATGTCGTGGCTTGAACTTACAACCTGCGAACTTGACCGCCGTGCGCGAGGCAACGCGGTGGCTACCGTAAGTAAGCTCGGAGGAAGGAATGCAGCTATCGTCCGTAATAAGGTTTCGCACACTTAAAATCACACGAGGCACACGGGGCAATTATGACATCGCCGCCTTGACGAAGGCCGCTGCACTCATCCACGCTGTGGAAAAAAAGGCGAAGAAAACGAAGCGTTAAAGCTGCTTCTGCAATCTGCAGTCAAGCAGTGCATCCATGTATACACACACATGTATACGCACACATCGAGCGATATTTATTGAGATAGTAAGCGCGTGCCTGTAGCATGAGTAAGAGTGTGTGTGTGTGTGTGTGTATGCGCAACCCGAAGATTCGCGGTAAGACGTTTTACGACGCTGCTCGCAAGCTTCAAACACGGCGCCGCTCGACTACGCGTGTGACCACATATCCGAGAACATAATTACGACGGGCTGATGCTTGCGCCTCGCTCACGCTGAAAGCTTTTCCAATGAAAAATAATGAGTTTGAAAATTAACTTCACCAAGCGAATTCCTCGAGTCGCTAGACAAAATAATTTAATTTTCTCGTCCATGGAAATAATAATAGCTAACGGTGCAAGAAACGCATAAATATGAGTTAACGAAAGACGAAGAACTCCACACTGCGCGAGAAGATTGTTTCGAAGCAACGTAAAAAGGCCGTTTAGTAGGTCAAAGGTCCAAATCAAGCATTCGAGAAGTCTACGACGTCGTCTAGGATCGAAGGTGCTATATAATCTTGCAGTGTAGCAAATGACGACTTTTCAAGAATTGGTGCGCGTATATAAAGCAACATTTCATCTACTACGTTTCCTTTATCGTCGTCACAGTCACAAAATTCATCCTTACGACGCTACTAGTGACTTTACGGTACTTAAGGGTTATATTACGATGCCATACTGTGGTGCTTTACCTTTTTACAACCCTGACAGGCCGATACTGTTCAAGAAATACAAGTTAACAACCAGAATTTTTTGGAGGACAGGTATACGCTGAGCTTATATAATGAAATTTTTAGTTGGTGCAGAATAATAATATACTATTTTCCTAAAATCTTCACATCGTTACTTCTGTAAATTTCAATATTTTATATTCGAACGTACTATCTCGAACTAGTGTAAACCAGGCATAAACTGGACTACCGAGTTGACGAAATTAAGGCACTACATAAAAGTATAAAACTATAATGGAATCAGCAACTTGTAGATCGTAAAACGTTGCGCCCGCTATCTCCTAGAGAATCCGCGGCTTTGTATTTTATAGTTGAAGGGAGACCCTATGGCGTACACGCACAAGCAAGCTTCAAAATTTTATATGTACAGGCAGAAGCAGGGACAGAGAGGGACGAAGACCTTTGCAGATTTCATGAGGTATATTACGCAAACTAGGTATACAGCACTGCCAGATGCTAAATGTGTTATGTGATGTTGCTTTTAAACGTCCGTGGACGAAATGATTTCACGCTAATTTTCCAAATACGTCAGAAAATTAGCCAAGTAGACACGAGCATATGATGAAATGGTGGGTGATACTGCTAGCATAAAAGTCACAAGCTCGTTGGGTGGCCAGATATAAATTATTCGCTTTTGAAATAATGAATAGGAGACGCAGCACTCTCGGAATACTGGCGTCACTGGAGGTGCAAACATAATTGCATAAGTAATAAGATAATAAAATCTCATATGGTGGAAAAATTCTGTGGCTCAGCACTTCATTCCGACTTACTTCATGCTCAATAATTGCACAATCCTAATAGTCGTGTGTTTGTACCTTGATCCTTTACACAACAACGCTACAAATTTGCAAAAACGAATGGATGACCGACACTATTGTTTGCGATTTTCGTGCAACAAAGATAAATGAAATGCAGACGTGCCTTGATAACGGCTATCAGAGCGACTCGCCCTTGGGCCATCATCGAACCTCGATTCCAGTAATGAACAAGATGTCATGAGAAAAAATTGTTCCTCACGCAGGCGCGCGCGACTCCGCTACGGCGACAATGTACGCAACTGCACGCCGTGCGCACTACATCAACGCGCGATGCACAATAATGAAACATATCCCGCGGGCAGCAGAGAGATACACGTAATGAAAGTATGATTGATGGCATTCGAGAGGTTGCCGAGCTTATTATTACCTTCAGCAATGAGGTGCATCAGCTATTGCATGTACGCGCGGGCTCGTGTGCACGTATGCGCGCGTTTACATGCGGGAAGCGCGTGTTATTATATTTGCGCGTATATGGCCACGCGGGAAGACGATAATTTGATCGTGTACGCCTCGCTGCAATTTGAACATTGACCCACGTTGAAATTAAATAATTTCTCAAAAGCGATGAATTCAAATCACTGGAGATATAGACTTATAAAGAGCCAGTATTATTGGGCTGCTTGTTTGGTCCGGATACGCGAGCTTTTGAATACGTTGATCGAGAAGAAAAAGTCTAGGTAAAACGTATTACGAAAAAGAAAGTTGAGTCGATTTTTCAGCGTCCAGAAGCTCAAAATGTCTATTGAAAGATAAAGCGCAGGTTTAGTGGTCGAAGCTCTTCTCTTCTCACGTTTTCCCTTGGGAAACTTCGCGGGGACATAGCGTCATGCGCAAGCTACATTTATCATTTATGGCTTCCGGCTAGACAACAAAATTTACCTGCAGGGGTGTTACGATATTTTTGCTTATTACAGTATCCTTCTTGTAAAACTTTTGTCAAATCATTTGCTTGATGTAAAAGAAAATCCGTTTTTGTTATCGAGAAATACCATAAATTATTTATTGAATTGAGAAAAGTTACTTTTCACATTTCGACATTATTCATGCATAAGTTTGAATTTGAAAATTACGTCGGAATTATGGAGGAAATTCAAATAATTAAGCCCTCTAGGAATACGTAAACGTAGGCTGCAAACAAAAAATCAATAGCAAAGGATGAATGGCTTTACAATAAAATTATCACAAGCCTTGCAAATTCTCAAATTCGATGATTTCGACTGATCCATTTTTGACACATGAATTATAGTTTAGCTTACAAGAGTTGAGATTGGTAAAACTGAACAACCAGAGCAATGTCGGTACATACATTTTAGTCGTCAGTTTCTCGATATATTCACTTCATGCAGGTAAAAAATAAAAAGAAGAAGAAGAATATCAGTATAACGCATCGAAGGTGTACGGGCTAAAGCAGTAGTAGCAGAAGAAAGAGAAGAAAAAGAGCACGTATAGCTCAAAGAAGAATCTGAAAGCCATCGAAATGGCCGTGATGAGAAGTGACTCCGGGATGATAATCTGACGAACACGAGTTTCCACTCAAAGCTACTTTCAAGCCGAATACGCCGCTACTGCTATACGGCGGTGTCGGTGCCTGCCTCAAGCGTTGCGGTTGTAATAGTAGTTGTGATGTTAGTAGTAGTATAGAAGTAGTACTTTCGCGAGGTAGCACAGCCGCTTTAAAAGCCCGAACACGCGTAAGCTTTTTGTAAATGCATACTTTTTATCGATTGACTTTATCATTGCGTGTACATCAAGCTCATTAGATTTTATGTGTATTTACGAGCACAATTACGGTGGAATACCACGTTTCTCGATAGCACTTTAAAAGGGCCAAAAACGCTTGGTCGTTTGCATTTTCAGATTCAAGTTCTTGGCATGAATTTTCGAGTGGCGATTTATCAGTTATCGTCTCGACCATACATGAAGCGAACAAAATCTATCGGTCTTGAGCTTTCTCTGCAGCACAACGAAAAAGAAATCGTGTCTTTCATTAGAAGGGGGAAAAAACTCAAGTCCGGAGCTCGAGGCGAAGATGTTTCTCTGTAAAACGCGCCCTCAGCGGCAAAAAGGCCAGTTTGCAGCGAGCAAACAACCCGTAACTCAGTGAGTGTTTATGAGATTGCCCGAGCGTCAGTGTGTCCTAGCTGCCGGAACGGGCGTGGAAAAACCATCGCCGTCATCCTCGTAAAAGTACCCTCTATGTTTCGGCTGTTACTTCATCGAGCCTCGACCGCATGTGTGCCCCTTGAGTTTTTCCCTCTCAATGGCTTTCCTATTTAAGAGCTACCTTGTACTTTCTTTTTCCAAAGAAGAGGAAGAAATCTCTGTTAAGAAGCTACGGAGTGCGTGAGCGTGAGACAATAGGGCGAAACAACGACTACGCTGCGCTGCATGCGTCTCTCTATGTGGAAAAGCATCCGAGTCAGACAGCAGCAGCTATACATAGCAACGGCATGTTGTCGGATCGTAAAATTCTCCAGTGGCGCTGATCACCGGTGGCAATTATCCCGACGTTATCTAGCGCGTTATCCCCTCCCATGTCTTTTGCGTCTTACGACTTTTAGCCTCCTTTATGTATCTCTCTAAAAAAAGAGAAAGAGAAGAAAGGGGGCTAGGGTGAGTTCTTTTTCCTCTTTCACTGTTTCTTCTCTTTCCCTGTTTTTTTTTTTTTTTACTGCAAACGAATTGATTCCCATGTCGTAAAGACTGCCGTTTCGACGGATTACACATGCATTGATGGTCATGGCTTTCAGTTTTGCATTTTCCAACTCAGCAAAGCTCCCGATAAAATCGCGTATAAAATATTCTCAAAAAACGAACCACAGAACTGTAAACGCTCATAATAAAAGTGATTCGAGAATAATTTGTAAAAGCTGATCGCTAGTGATATAAAGATGAAACTTGGAAGTTCAGAAATCTTGTTTTCGTCAAAAAAATATTTATTTGGTTGAAAAACCGTATTGAATATGAAATATTAAAAGTTGTTGAAAACAGTGGAAAAATAATTTGCAAGTAGTTTCTTCGCAAAAAGTATTATAGACCTTTTTAATCAAAATTTTATGAAAAATTCATTACCTGCTCGATTACTCTGATCAATCATTGGTTGCACGATCCTACGTCTCGCATTGATAAACCTGAAAAAAGCAAAACATTTTTTAATATATTTTCCATATTTATATACAATTATACTATAATAAACATGTGATTTTTGAAAACAAGTGACTATATACTGCTTGGTTATTTGCAGCGTAAAACAATGACACCAAATCAAGCTCGGTTTTTCTACATTTACGCTCGAGAAGAATAATCGAAAAATTGTCTACAAGTGTTGGTGGGTTTGCTCTTACTTCTGTCTATCTGTAAGTACGTATGAAAGTACATCTGGAAAAATATAAGAAAGAGGTCCATGGTTAAGGCGTGTCAGCCGACGTCAGCGTCGCGGCCCCCTAATGGACTCAGACGCCGGAAGTGATTGGCTTTACGCTCGACTGATTTTCTACTAGCTCCATCTGAGCCGGTGCTCTCGCTTGCTTTTCTCTTGTTTTGCGAACCGCAGACTTCTTGCTGTTGCTGCTGTTGCCGCTGCCGCCGCTGTAGCGATTACCTCACGCCTGGACGGACGCTCTCTCTCTCTCTCTCTTACAAGCGCGCGAAAGGGCCACGAGCTTTATTCCTCACCCCTCTCTAGTTATGAATAATAATTATCGAGTTTGCTCTCGAGTTGCGATGCTCAACTTCTATTATCACGTTAATGTGAGTTGCAAACGCCTGTCCGAGTGCTCGCTGAAATGGTGCGAGATACAAGAGGAGACGAACAGAAATGCGCGAGAAGCCGAAGAATTTTTACTTATGCCATTTTAATTTATGTACATTCTTATTTTCTCGGGGCATAGAACATAGTTTACATACGCATTCAAATGAGTCATTTGATTTTGATATGAGCTTACAGTGCGATAACGGATATGTTTAAGAGCGAGTATCCTCGTAAAATTGCTCGTCATCAATCCTATACAAGTACAATATTTAGGGGCGCAACAATCCTTGCTCTTTCTTATTCTGCCCTTTTTCTAGTGATTTTTGTTTGACTCTTGGAGCTTTTCCATTTTAGTATCAGTGGTAGTATAGTACACATAGACATTTGATTTTTTTCTTTCCTCCAACCCCGATTGAACATCTTTTTGTCAGCTCGAGCGTTCAATGCTAAAATTTCACCCAGAACAATAGCGAAACGGTGATATTCTATAGCTTGCGCTCGAGCTCTCACTCGCAGGTCCAAAATATCACACTGGAAAGCTCTATGGGTGATAAAATTTTACAGTCGAAATAACTTGAGCTTGGGCACGATCCGTGTTTTTCGCTCCAGTTTCTCAACTTTCTTCGCAGTCATGCGAATGCGCGCGTTCTTGCAGGCAACCAAAAAGCTCCCTGCACCGAACACACTTTGAGCATTGTTATTAATGCGTCCGACTCGTTTACAGAGTTTTTGAAAGATGGTTCACTTATTAGATGGATTAAAAACAAAACAATAGTATGTAATTTTTAGTCGTTGTTATTTTTTTTAGAAAAAATAGCTGTCGATTAAGTATGAGTAAAATTTGTCAGCGATACCTGACACGTGTACCTGAGCTTGCACTCGCACATATTCACACAGGCCCACTCGTCTGCTTATACATTGGAAAGTAGTTTTATACTGTCATATTTTCAAGACCATAGCATTTGAAACGAAGTGCAAGCACAGAGAACTCTGAGCATATGACGCTACTCCGTAAAAAGAGCATAAAATTCAGCATTATGATCCAAATCCTATATGTGCGCCTGTGAGAGATTGTCCCCTGTGCTCTGTTACTACCACGGGGTCTGTCTCTCTCTTTCTCTCTTTTTCTCTGTCTCATACAGTGACTGAATTTAGTGCACTCGGTGCGCATATATGAATAATATTCGCTCCCACCCTGGACCAAGGGACTTTGTATCATATGCGTATGTGCCTGGACGTGGACGTACACGAGTGAGGGTGTGTGCAATGCATGCGCGCAAGCTCCGTCCACGCGCGTATGCGAATCACTCTTTGATGATCTTAATGTGTCTATTAAAATCTCTATAAGTGCAAGTCGATTATTCCCCCCTTTAAAATAGCTCAATCGGACGCTGAAGAATTTCCAAACCGATGCACGTTCACGCATACATTCACGCGATGGGGTAATGCATGCATAAGCAACTTCACAATTCCATTATAGCGTGTATTAAGCGCATAATGTATAGGAGCCGTGGAGCACTGTCACATCATATCAGTAAACTTGAAGAAGCGTCCTGATTATGGCATAGATATTAAGGCGCATATATACTCGCCTCGCACGTATCCATGCACGTATATATACGCGTATGTGCGAACTGCTTTACGAGCCAACGCAACGGCCATTTGCAATTATCGAAGAGGATCCATTAGTTAAAACATAATATACGTACGCACATGCAACTCGTCGCTGCTCATGTATCGAGCGGATGCTCGCACTAACCTCTCATAGTGTCAGAACATCGTGATCGATGTAAAAAAACTATTTAGTAATGAATAAATTGAATAATTTAGTGCAGCTAATGCAGAAAGTTTCCTACACATATTTATACCGATATTTAAACAAATATTTGTAGTTTATAATTTCAAGAGTATTAAAAGCCAAAAACTATAATACAAGACTTATAAATTGTGACTGTCAATAAGAGCAGAGAATGCTCTGATCAAAATTTCGAATCCATTGAATGCACAGTCGAGCTGACGAAGCGATCAGGACGATTGCTCGACGTCCGGGATGTTGGATCGGATACGTATGCAGACAGCTCGTATTTGGCTACGCCTGTTCATTCTGCATGCACTACGTGTCAACGTAACGATTTAAAGCATGTTTTTGTGCTCAAACCTTAACTCGTATTTTTTTGCTCTTTAGCTTTTACTTATAACTCGCTTCATAGTTTCTTCGACATTTTCTATTTATTCACTGTACTTCAATTATTGTAGTTGTGTACTTATCTTTATAAATTAAACTTCTTTTTAGCGTTTTGCAATTTTCGAATAAAATTTCAAATTAAAATATTCAACTGAAAAAATATTTTTATTCGTGAAACATTTTTGCTCTGTTTTTACCAGACTTTTCCTCTTTTTCAGCTATTTTTCAATTTTTGTTATAAATCCAACAAACCTTCGTATATCCTCTTGAAAGCAACCCTCTCATTCCGGCTTTCGCCTCTTTATATATCTCGAGCATAAACGCTGTATACCTATACGTGGGTGCACAGAGGCTCCATTTCGCTTTCTGGCTTACACTGCAGCAACAGCAGCTCGTGCGAGTGTGTGCCATCGCCGCCAATGCTATATTCGCTGTTGTTGGTCGAATTTCGGCTGCCACGGCTGCTGCGCCGTGGGGCTGTGCGCCAACTCAGTGACTCTGCATTTAAGCTATACGGCTGGTGAACGCTTTTTCGGAAAATTTGTTGCCGGAATTTAAATAATTGTTTTGCCGGGCTTGCCAGTAAATTGTATCAAACGATATCAGTCTCGGTGCTGCGCGGACCTCGAACAGTGGGTATGTGTGCGTTTACGCGTATACGTACGCGGATGCGCGCTGATGTTGACGGGCACACTTCGTCGAATACGCCAATAAAGCGAGCAATATGTGGGTGGGGTCATGAGAACAAAAACAAAAATTCAGCATCGACATTGGCTTTTTAAATTCTATCTGCGCGTTCGTCCGTAGTTTCGGTCTCGTTCCTCAATATTTTTATTTTATTTTTATCTTGCACAGTGGAGAGAGAAAAAAATGGAGTATTTTTTCCAAAAAATTTGCACATTTAGCAAAAAAAAAACATTTTTATAAAACGTGTACAATGTATACGTAGATCCAGCAAGAGAAACAAACAAGCAGCGCCGCTAAGCAGGTCAAAGAACAAAAATCACATTAGTGTCTGCAGTAAAAGTTATCCAGTTAAAGCCTAATCCAGCCAGCAGAGTTATAGGTATGAGCATACGGGAAAGCAGAGGCTACACAATCCGTACATACGCGCGCTACCCTTGTCCCTAATCACAATTAACGTCGAATTTGCGAACTACGTGAACGCGCGTGCGAGCACACGTATATATACCGAGGCCTATACGGCAGAGATACAGACGCAGCAACGTATATATACAGTTGACTCTCTGCGCTCTCGGAGCTGGCTCCATGGCGTTAATATACAAGCCGTGCGCTGAGATTATTCGTTCGTTTTCGTCAGAGAAATGTACGCGTAAAGCAGTGGACGCCAGCACTACCACTGGCAGCAGCAGCAGCAGCAGCAACACTACTACTGGTTAATCAATGCAATTAGGGTAACATGTGCATAACCAGGCAGCAGCGGCAGTAGCGGCAGTAGCATTGCTGCAGCAGCAGTGCGAAGCACATGTCACGTGATGAATGGGACTCGCAGTCGCCGCGCGACGACCAAATTTGTGATCGCTCGGACGCGCGACCGTCCACCTACGTACTAATTCACGCTCGAATATATCTGTATATTATATAACGTACGCGATGTGTAGAGAGCATTTATGTGCGTACTTTTTAACCCGCCTATTTAGCAGGGCAGAATTACAGGGCGCGGAGTGCGTTCCGTTAGTGCACGAAGGCATTATTAAGCCTATGTCCTTCTTTCGTGGAAAGGAGGAAGACAAGAAGAAGGTCGTTGGTGGGTTAGTTTACTTAACATGCTTTAATTTGTGATATGTGCAACAATTTTTTTCATATTTAAAATTTCTAAAGCAAAAGACAACAGTCAATTATTCTCTGATGGAAATGCCCAACATTTTATGACCAGTTTTTGACCAATGAAAAAGTTTCGTGGACATGATAGGGTTCTTAAAAGTGGATGTATTAAAAACGAAAATATTTAAGTTGAATTTTTGAGAGAAGTAAGTGAATTTTTCTCAAAACCGTGCTCTGTCTATACAATTATTTTCATTTTACCACTTGCAGATTTACAAAAGAAGATACTCGCCATCTAGTGGGAGAGAGTTAAAGTGGTATTATCGTATCTAGAGTGCTTGCTTGAAAACTGGTCTAAATTTTTTGAAACTGTCAAACTACCATTTTCAGGCACACACAATGACAACAGA